TATGTCTACCGGACCATGCTAAAATATGATGGGGTTTCCATTTAAAAAAAATCAAGATGGCGTCGTATCTGTCAAAATTGACGTTTTAAAAAATGTTGGTATAGAGAATCGGCATCCTCGCGAAAAATTACGTTAGAAAATTTTTCTACTATCTTTAAATACCAAACAGGAAAATTATAAATCGAGTGAGACACTTAAAATGATGTCTCTGTACCTTATATTATTTTTAGTGTCTGAATTTCACCCTTTCGATTGGCCGCCCCCGCTTTAAGCCCTAGGATCGCGCCGGCAGACGGCAGACATGACTATTTCAAAATGGCTACACAAAAGGACACTTCAAAAAATTATGTCAATAATTAAAAGTAATATTCTGTGAGGCATTTTGGCAGAGAATTTAAAAATAATTTTCAATGATTTTTTTAAATATCAACTGAAAAAAAAACTTTTTACGTCTGTTAAAATTCTAAGTATATACCTGCTAGCTTTATGTATTCAGTATTTTAAGACATTTGTTTGATCTCACTATTTTCATAAGAATTCTCTGAAATCATAATAGAATAAGTGTTTTATGAGTCAGTTACCACCCAAGAACAGGCCCTGGTATGAATGTCTACCCATCTGAATCAGATTCCAATAAATTGAATTTCCTTTTAAGCGTATTGTGAAGAAGCTTCAAAGCTGTGGAAAGCTGTCATAACGAAACCTTTGAAGTCCTAAAACAGGATAACACAAGAACAATTTATTTGGCAATGTGGAATTTCTTACAAAGCTGTAAAGTATATAAATATACTAAAAATAAATTTGGTTTAACACCTTAAAGCATTGAAAGGTCCCAAAGCAGTTATGTGATCTAGAAATGTAACTTCTTAATATTGTTTCACGTGCCTTATAAATTGATCAATAGAATTACAAAAAGAATATTCATAACATCTTCAATAGTAGTTTCGAGATAAATTGAGAAGTATAGGCAAAACCATATTTGAAAGACAAAATTAATTGACTGATTAAAAAAATTACCTAATTTTTCGAAATGGGTAATTATGATTATTGATTGCGAGTACCTATTTAATTTGGTCTGTCTACATCTTATACAGGGTAAGTGTTAAATAAGTGCAAATATTTTTGTGGATAGTGTATTTCGAGCTCAGAAACACGATTATGAGTTTTTATTCGCGAAAATTTAGATTTTTTTTTAGTTTTTAGTAAAAAACATAATTTCTTGATAATATGACAACATAGGTAGTAGATTAAATTTACAAGAAAGAAAACCTAGAAAAGATCTAGTGGTTCTCATAATTTATGCTTTTTGCATAATTAATCATTTTTTTTAACTTTCGAAGTAAAATAACTGGGATATTTTGAACTTATTTGAAAAACTATAAAGAGAAAATAGTTCTTTTCGTCAGGATCTGCTATGTCTGAACATATTTGCACTTATTTAAGATTCACCCTGTATAATTTTTTTTCGTATTTTTATTAGCCTTATTTCAAGAGAAATATTGGGTTTTCAAAAGCCCTGCAAACGGTACCATTCAGGAAACCGGTTGCCGAAGTCGTACCACTAGGCTTTCTATATCGTACTTACCATCTGAAATATGAATGAATCATATCTACATATTAATACTTAACGTGACGATAATTCTAGAATGGTTTAAAACAATCACAGGCTTTAACTTGTTAATAAATATCGAAAACTTCCTGACCAGTGTTTTATAACCTTCTGCCACAAATTACCTATAACAGATGCGAAAGAAAGCGACTGCATCGGAAACCGCTCGGCAAACCCGACACGCCTACTGAGTGGTGTAAATACACCAGTCGTTTAGTCCGGAAACCTATGCTGTGTCGTATTCGCTTGCTGGAATGACATAGTGCGTGGTTATATGTTTCTTTTTAAAAACGCGTGTAGGATTTTTGTTGAACTTTTGAACTGTTATTTCTAAGTTTTGGTAATTTGTATATCTTATTTAAAATGGGTTGCAAATGTGTTTATTTATAAAATATTTATAGTATAAAAAATTAATTTATTTAACAAAATTTAATTAAAAATGTGACAAAATAGTTACCTTTCTATTGGTTCTATCGGACTTTTTTCGACTATATAAATCTTTATTTGTAAACTTTAATGCATCAAATATTTTCAATCTAATAAATCATTTAATGATGTAAATAAGAGGAAATTTCTCACATGGGTGGTCAAGTTTTATAGTTTTCATTATATCAAACTGCCTCTGAGAAATGTTTTCAACTCAAAATGGCCTTTAATTATGTTTGACTACATCATTAAAAAGGGTCTTCAAATACATCGATGTGATATTTGTCTAAAATTTGCAAAAGAATTCGAATCTCTGGATAACTCGAAATTATTTACCCATTTAAAAGCCTTTGATCATGAAAGTGGAAAAATTTGTTCATTTTATTTACAGGCTGGAAAAATTATTTAAATTAAATTTTGATGAGTTTTGCACTGAAGAAAACGTTCAGAGGCTGTTTGATATAATGAAAACTATAGAATTTGACCACCCATGTGAGAAATTTCCTCTTATTTACATCATTAAATTATTTATTAGATTGAAAATATTTTATTCATTAAAGTTTACAAAAAATAAAGATTTATATAGTTGAAAAAAGTCCGATAGAACCAATAGAAATGTAACTATTTTGTCACATCTTTAATTAAATTTTGTTAAATAAATTAATTTTTTATACTATAAATATCTTTTTTTTCCTAATCACCTACGAGCTGATATAATATGACGAACAATCTATTAAATTACTGCGAGATTATACAGAAAAGTCCACAGACTTCGAGACATAGGAAAATCAAGTCCATTTAGCGTGTGTCCAAATTTTGACAAGTTTTCAAAAATTACAGTTTTGTTTAGACTGACGTTTAATTTCACCTGACTTCTCGGTGAATGATTTCTTTTTATGGGGGTACATAAAATCTAAAATTTACGGCCATGAAGAAATTCAAAACTTGGAGCAGTTAAGGCAGAAAATATTTAATGCCTTTGACACTGTCACCCCTGATATGTTATCCAATGTGAGGAGGGGATTTTATGATCGTTTGGGTTATTGTTTAATGCAAGAGGGAGGCACTTTTGAACAATTTTTGTAATTTTTTAAATTTCATTATCCTGTTTTTTTACCGTTTACCCATGACGGTTATACCTAGACGAACATGGGAAAACGAAGGTCCTTTTCAGGACCACAAATATTTTGATTGAGAAAATTGGTAACTTTTTTTTGGATTAAAAAACAAAAGTTGTTAATATAATACCAATTTAAAAGTGTTTTAGTAGTTTTAATACACACTATGATATCAAATTTATTATTATTATAATGTACATTATTAATACTATTGTTCATTCGAAATGGCATTAAGGCCCAATTGCAACAATGATTTAAATGTTTCTTAAAGATAAGTAGAGCTTAGAATGAGCTGTATTTATACTTACTTTAATATTCATCTTAAATGAGGGAATTTGACTGATACAATTTTTGAATTTGAAGTTTTTTAATGATACTAACAATTTTAGTTCAATTTTTAATAAAATTTATTTAATATTAATAGAAATCTAAGAGATTTGAAACCTCTTTTAACGATTTATAACATTCTCAAATGAATTACAGGTGCCCTTATTTTCTATGAAAATCACACAGTTTTTTTCATAGTCGCTGCAGTTGCTATAGCTATAAAAAACTAATTTTTAAGGTCTGAAAATTGCGATACACGCTAAATGGACTTGATTTTTCGTATGTCTCGAAGTCTGTGGACCTTTTTGTATGCCTCGATAACATATTGGTGCAGATTATTTTCACCCAAACAAATAATAACCCAAACTATACATTGATGCGGATTGTCTATGAACTCTTTCTGAAGGTCACAGAAACCTGAACGCGTAATTCGGTGTTCTTTCGCATCTGTTATAGGTAATTTGTGCTTCTGCGATTACCACTGTCAATTCAGTTTGCTGCTTATCTTGTACCTCAAATCAGCATCTGTGTAAACATTTCTGCCTGCAGACCAAATGTTACACCTCCAAAATGCATTTGTGACATTTCCTATACTTACCGCTCTACCGTAAAATTTCTCTGCTAAACCTGCTACTTTCCTAAATCGTACTGGTACAAATTGTGCCACCATACAGAGGTACTGTTTAGCAACATGATTGAATATATAAAAATAATTTATATAGCGGTCGTTTTAGAAGTAAGATGATATATAGCTATGTAGAATGAAACGAAATATTCTCCAGTTTGAGAAAAAATACACATCTTCAATTACATTCCCTCAAGACATAAAAAAATCATTACCATAAGAGAATATATAAACAAGGCTATAAGTCATCAAAATATTAGAGTATCAATACAAAGAATCTTGATATGCATTATTTCTTTAAGCACTCGTGCTACTTGAAAAAGGTAGTAAGTATTACTGGACGCCCTTGTTGAGCTTACTAAATAATATACCACAATATGTCTCGCCAATGTAACTATAAACGAGATAATGGAGGGGTACGATTTAGAAGACGATACGGTATAGGCGACTTTCCTGTATCTCTACAAAAGTACCTATATACAATACAGTGAGTAGCCAACAAATCTATAGAATGGCAGAGAAATTCACCAGGGTAGAGACATGCAAAGAAGTTATATATATATATATATATATATATATTATATATATATATATATATATATATATATAGATATATATATTTGGGATTAATATTATATTAATCAACTTTATATATATATATATATATATTGTATATATACGTATACATATATATATATATATATATATATATATATATATATATATATATACTATATATATATACGTATACTATACATATATATATATATATATGTTGCCTTCCCAGTCTCAATCGCAAGCATCTCTGTCGTACACGAGATCTTCTTCGATATTCCGATCTCTCATCGCCTGTCGTATACCATCGTTCCAGGACCGACGCGGGCGTCCCCTTTTGTTTCTTCCAGTGGGTGACCATTTGAATACACGTTTTGGCCATCTTGTGTCCTCCATCCTCATTAGATGACCAAACCATCTCAAACCTCTTTTCTCTATTCGTTGAATTACTGTTTCTTGTGCCGATGTTCTGTTTCTGATTTCCTCGTTTCTCACTCTTTTTGTAATCTGGACACTCTTGCGCTTCTATATAATGTAAGTAATCCATCTCTACAGCCAATATTCTCCGTTTATCTTCTTCTTAGGGCCCATATCTCACTCCCATAGCATAAGACCGATTCTACCATTGTTTGGTACCAATATGTTTTTATTCTTTTATATTAATAGGTTTGTCCCAATAAGATTTTGTTGAGTGCCCCTACCACTCTCCTCGCGTTCTGAATTCTCTGTCGTATCTCTGTCCCACCGATTCCATTTTTATCAACTATAGCTCCTACATATTTAAATGTGTCTACCTGTTGTATTTCTGCCTTGTCGTCAATTAAAATATCATGCAAAGAAGTTCATAGTAGAATATTCGCCAAAATTCATGACAAAAACTGTAGTGGTCTACTAACAAGGTACTAGCTGTATACGTCAAGTAAGCTGAATAGACATCTAAAGCTGATGAGATTGACGGACGAAACCATGTGGAGTGGAGTTTTTTTTTCAATCTGAAGAAGAAACGACTCATTTTACGTCTTTTCGGCAACCTGGCAAATGTGCGGGTCTTTGTACTAGGCAATGATAGAAATTTGACACAAAGAACGATATGGAGGGTTCAGTCTCTAAGTTGCTTAACTTAGTGAAATGGACAGGCCTGGAGAATGTAACCTAAGTATCAGAAGAAGACCACAATAGTGTAACAGTCCAAATTTAGCTTTAACTAGGTTTAAAAATATATACCAATTTTTCTTACAAGTTAGATCAAACTCTTATTTATGCTGATAAATAAATTTATTGCATTTAATTTTTATAAACAAATATTCATTACTGCTATATTTCATTATCTTTCTTACTCTCCTTTGCTTAATTTATTTTGCTTTCCATGCCATATCTCAAGTCCTAGTAATCAATCAGTAATCTAAAAATATAATTAAAATTTATTATCTAATGCTAATATAATCAAATTTACCAAAATATTACCTTTAATTTCTGGACTTGTTTTATGTTTCTGAATGTTAGCCTATTTGCCGTAATTTCTAGTAGTTCTGCGGTACTGCTTGCCCGAGTATTATCTTAGAAGATTTCCGATCAAGTGTGGATTGTCTCTAAAATATTATTTGATCCTATATCTCAAACCTCTTTTCTCTATTCGTTGAATTACTGTTTCTTGTGCCGATGTTCTGTTTCTGATTTCCTCGTTTCTCACTCTTTTTGTAATCTGGACACTCTAGCGCTTCTACGTAAGTAATCCATCTCTACAGCCAATAGCTCTCCGTTGAAGTTATTTACCTGCATATTTTTTGAAATTTATCATTTGTTTATTTCTGCAAATTGTTTGGTTAATAATTATTATTAATAATGTCATTTATATTTGAATTTTTGTCAGATCAGTTGAGATGCGTGAATTCGGCGCACACTCCTCGCTGTTGTCAGGTTGGGCAGTACTTCCTTTAGGTTCCCATGTTTGTATTTTCTGATAGCTCCTATTGATTGCATAATCGTGTCATCCTTTCCGTATTATTGTGTATGCATCGTCACCGGCATAAGGTTTGTATGTTTGTGTTTGAATGGTTATTGAATTTACTTTAATTCTAAGTAATGTTTATTTTGGCAATGTTTCTAAATTCCCAGAATATTAAATTGCAACTTTGCAGTATAAGTCAAATTTCTGGAGCGGAACTCTATCTGATCGATGTAGGTTTCCCACATTTTTCCCCTTCAGCTTCAAAGCAGGTGTTTTAGTCAGTGCACTTTGTTGGAATTTTCCTGTTTGGCACAACCCTGTTATGGTTTGGCACAACTCTGTTGTTGCTCTGTGGGAGCGCGCTGTCAACATCGCTTCTGTCAATTCTCTGTGATCTAACTTCACTTTTGGTTAGACTGTTTGACCTGTCAGACGCCATTAGTCCCAGTTTTTGAGAAATGGTGATTATTTAAATCTTGCTGTGTAATCTGAATCAGCTGCCATTTCGAAGCTACAGGTAAAGCTGAGTTATTTTCCTTTTAGGTTCGTTTTGTTGGGGATAATCAGGACTAGAACTATAAGGGATACTTTTGCTATTTGAGCTGTACCTTACCTTTTAAAAGTATCTCTGAGCCGTTTTATACGGGATTTTAATCTGCTCGTGGCTGGGAAAGCCTTTTGATTTATTTCTTCGTCATCGTCGATTTTCTTGGGAAAGGGAACTTAAAACCACCACCTGTTCCAGTAATTTCTGCTTTCTGAATCCAGCAATTTGAACATCCATCTATTAGAAAAAAAAACTAGATTTTTTGTGAAGCCCAGCAAGGGTTTTTTTTTGGACCAGGCTTTTAAGACCAGGATTTTTCCACCAGGCTTTGAGACCAGAACTTTTTTTTGGACCAGGATTTTTCTTTTATATGAGGATTTTTCTACGAAGCATTTTTCTGGCTTGCTTTTTCTGACAGACTTTTTCCAGTACGTCTCTCTGGAAGTGGTATCCTTCTGAAGCACTGAGCTTGGCAACTACGTCGCTGGATCAGGTTTGAAGCAGAAACAAGTAAACGTTTACTGAAGTTCTAGTATTGCATTTAACACCTAAAATGTTTTCAGTCTTAAACAGTAACGTACATTTAAACTATAGCGTACAGACTATATTTAGTGGTTGATTACTTAAGAATATTTATGTCAATGCAGTAGTAAAAGTGTGATTTAGATTTTATCTTCCCCTATTATTTGTTTTCCTATTACTTTCTTACCTTTTTTTTATCTTATATTGATTCAAGGTTCCAGAGTTCAAGGTACATACATACGGTTCAGTTTTTCAATTTTTAATTAAATTTAGTATTAACAACGTCATCAAATTTGGTTCATTTTTTTTAATTTAATATCATTATACAATACTCTATTAATTTATCTTAGTGTTTTTCATCCCTTAATTTTTTATCTTTCTAATATTTTTTTTAATAACAAGTCTTGTTAGATTCCAAGAATATCTTGGGGTTTTCTATTTATCTGTGCAAAGCCAGTGGCGTATAAACCCACCCCATCTCTTCGGCAGAGCTAGGGTGTTATTTGCACGCACACACCACAGTTTAATAAGACGTTTTTTTTTTTCGGTTCTCTATAAATTTTTAATTTCATAATTTTTCTTGTCAATTTAATAATTTTAAAATTTAACAATTTAACATTTTTTTTTAAATCAATTTCCTTCAAAGGAAACGCGTGGCAATAGATCTGAAAAGGTCGCAATGGAACAGTCCAATAAGCGGTACAAAAATTCACCACTTGAGGGTTAAAATTGAGGCCTGCTCTTCTGATATTAGACCTACTCTCAGTAGTATTATAAAGGAGACTTTTATGATGACCATTTGCCTGCCAAGTGTGTTGCACACATGTGTGCACTGGTCCGCTTTAATATTAACGTGAATGTAAATTAATTATTTACTATGGCCGTAAAATTATTTTCGCGCCTAAAAATATCTATAAATTAATAACTTTTAGTGGACGATAGTCGCGAAGTAATAAAATATATTTAGAAAGAGAGATTTTATAATAAATGGATTCGTATACACGGTCTGGTTTATATATTTGCTGTGAATAACTGGACTCGTAAATAATATTAATTTTATTATATGCTTGATCCAGAAATAAGTTTATTTTCGTCGTTTCTTTGCATGAAGTGCCATGAGAGTGGTAAATGCGTTTACATCGAGAACATTAAAGAGGTAGACTGTAGGTAGTTGTAAAAAATATCGTAAATTTGGTGAAATACATTTAGTTTATGAGAGTAATAGCAAGCATACGTCTTCAGGAAATGTTGTGTAAGTTATGAAAATATTGACCACAATAGCTTATTCTAAAAAGCCAATTTAAAGTTACGGTTTAGAAAAAATTAAAAGTTAATGGATTCCAAAAGCGTGTACTCGCGACTTTGTTCGCGTCGAATTAATCATTTGTAATGGTGATGATAAAGCAATACAAGAATTCCCATTAACATACAAACTGGATAAAATGTTCTCACATTTATGTCAGCATGGGAAAAAACAATATGGCGATATTAATATATTTTGGCAGTTACTAAATTACCTAACTTTTTGGAACACCCTGTACGATTTTTTAAAAAATTTCAAAATATGTAAAAAAACAAAATAAATTATGCGTGTCCAAGCGTTTTCCCGAAAGACTAACCGTTTTTTAAATAACAAATATTGTAATATTTGAGGGGCGTTTTCACTCTCTTGGAATTTGAAATTCGAGAAAGCCCTCCTTATCGAACCTCTACACTCCACAGTCAATCCTTTTGCCAAAAATCACCTTTAAACGTCAAGCAGTTTAAGCAGAATCGTGATTACTCAATGGTCATATTTTATGAAACACCCTGTATAAATTTTTAAAACATCTTAAAATATGTAAAACAACAATATAAAATATACGTGTTAAAAAGTTTCTCCGAAAAACTCAACGGTTTTTAAAAAAAAATTCTAATATTTGACGGGTAGTTTCACCCCCTTAGAATTCGAGTTAAAATCCCTCCTTATCGAACCTACACCCTAAAGTCAATCCGTTTTCCAAAAATCAGCTTTTTACGTCAAGGCTTTTAAGCAGGATCGTGATTAATCAATGACCAGATTTTTCAAAATACCCTGTCTACATTTTTAAAAAATCTTAAAATATGTAAAAAAAACAAAATAAACTATACTTGTTTAAGCGTTTTTTCGGAAACTTGACCGTTTTTTAACTAAAAATAATGTGATATTTGAGGGATGGTTTCACCCCCTTGGAACTGGAATTTCGAAAAATCCCTTATTATCGAACCTCTACACCCTAGAATCAACCTGTATGCCAAAATTGAGCTTCTTACGTTGAGTGGTTTGAGCAGGATCGTGATTAATCAGCGAGTCAGTCTTAAGGACTTTATATATTAGAAGGATATTAGTATAGATTAAACTCCATTCTTCTAGTTTTTTTCACAAAAAAATCCATAAAACTATTCAGAAGTCCAAAACTCGAAACTCGAAATAAAATCAACACTATTCGTCAGCGAAACAGAGACGCGAAAAACTTTCCCGATCTGCAACCTGCGACTAGAACAAAACAATTAAGGAGGCCTTGCATTCAAGGAGGATTCGCCACTGACAGCTCGGGATCTCTTCTACTAGAAATCAACAGAAGAATTAAGTTAGCATGGAGTACTTATGGAATCGAATCTAGAATGCCACTTTATCTAAAGAAGAAAATATTCGACCAATGTGTACTACCAGTCATGACCTATGCATGCCAAACCTGGACACTTAAAACGGACATCATAAGGAAACTGCAGGTCCCACAACGCTCAATGGAACGAAATATGCTGGGAATATCCAAGAGAGACCGTAAAAGAATAGAGTGGATAGAACAAAAGACCCAGGTAATAGATGTCATCCACAGAGTCAAATCCCTTAAATGGTAATGGACAGGGCACCTGGCAAGAAGAACTGATAACAGATGGACCACAATAATTACAACATGGTACCCACAAGGAATTAAGAGACTTAAAGGAAGGCCAAACCTGAGATAGGACCTTGATATTAGGAAATTGCCAGGAATATCTTGGGCCCGCATAGCTAACAATAGACAGCAGTGGACCCAACTATATAGAGACTACACCATAATTGGAAATGGTTGAATAAGCTGAGAATGATGATGATGATATGTACAAAAATATTCATTAACCAGCCTCGACAATTTGTACATGCCAGAGAACAAAACAGCCCAACCAGTTTTGCAAAAGAGTCAAAATCATGTACTATTTTTACACGCAATAATTGGCTGTGATACGACGTCTGCATTTTACAGGAGAGGTAAAACAACAGTTTTTAAAATGTTTGAAAAACAATTTACTTACATCCAGGATGCAGAAAACGAACAAGACGAAGATCAAGAAGAACAACAAGAAGACATATTTGAAGGTTATGAATCAGATTTTTATTTCCACCGCTTTTATAATTTCCTATTCTTATTAATATCTTTTATTATGCAATAGTTTTCAATTAAACAGAATCACAATAGACATGTGGAATAGGCATAATGGGGAAACCACGTTAAAAAACGCGCTAAGTACTAGCGATGGGAACTATCGAATGAATTAGACTATCGAATGGTTACTGAATGAATGATTTCAACTATCGAATGGTTTTATTCGAATAAAATCATTCATTCATTTGTATACTAAAGCATATGTGACAACCTCGCCGTGCAACTAAATGGT